GGTCCGGCATCCTGTGGACAGGCCGGGGCTGGCGCTGGGACCTGAGTGACCGCCATGTCCCCCCGCCGCCCCCCGCAGGCCATGACGCTGATGGAGTACCTCATCAAGACGGGCTCGGAGCGCGTGTCGCAGCAGTGCAAGGAGAACATGTACGCCGTGCAGACGCTCAAGGACTTCCAGTACGTGGACCGCGACGGCAAGGACCAGGGCGTCAACGTGCGAGAGAAGGCCAAGCAGCTGGTGGCCCTACTGCGTGACGAGGACCGGCTGCGGGAGGAGCGAGCCCACGCGCTCAAGACCAAGGAGAAGCTGGCACAGACCGCCACGGGTGAGCCGTGTCCCGTGGCCCAGGAGCTGGTCTCCTCCTGCCCCTGCCGGGCCCCTCCCGCTGCTCCTTGCCCTCCTCGCTGCGCTCACCCCCAGATGCCAGCTGAGCAATGCCCTGCGTGCAGCCTGGGCCCTGGAGAGGGCTGGGTGCCCGCAGTCCTGTCCATGTCTGTGCCCAGGAGGAGAGAATGCCGCCGGAGGGGAGAGGGCTCCCCAAGCCCCGGGTCAGGGACAGCCCCCGGGGGAGGGCATGCCCTCTGCGCAGCCTGGCCTGGGAGGAGCAGGCGGCACCTAGGCCCCAGAGGCTGTGTGAGGCACAGGCCAGCGGTGGCTGGGGAGCAGCTGGAGGCAGAACCTGCTGTTGACCCCCAGGAAGTGGGTGGGGTGAGCGAGCTCGGTTTGGGGTGGTGACCTGCACTGGGAAAGAGGCACCGGGGCATCTGCGTGTGGCCCCCAGCGTAGGACACATCTCGGGGAGCTTTCCGTTTGACCACTGGGTGGGGGAAAGGCCTTGTGTCCCGGGCAGGTGGGCATCACTGCAGAAACGGCGGTGTCAGCGCAGTGGGCCACAGGGCACAGACAGTTCATGTCGCTGGGATGTTGCCCCGGCGGGGCTGGGGCCCGGGGACCCAAGGGGCCAGGCAGTTCCAGGCGATGGGGAGGCGGTGCCTATGGACAACGGGGTGCAGAGTTCTCTGTGAGCAATGGCAGGAGGAGGCGCCTGGGCCTGGGGAAGGACCAGATGCCTGGGGAGCCATGACCCCCGCCTGCCTGCAGGAGCCTGGCGTGTTGGGAGGGCTGGGCGTTCTGCTCGGACCTGTCACATTACTCTCCGTCCAGCACCCACTCGGAGGTCAGGGCCGCGCTCCAGGCAGGGGGAGGTGGGCTCTCAGCGTCCGCTTGGCCTCAGGGCTGCCTCCTCCTGCCACTCGCAGGCGTTAGTCTTAGACCTTGAAGTTTCGGTTGTGTGTGCTTTTCTTAGCAACTTGAGATATTATTCATCTTTGGATTTTTTTCCTCCCAACCCCTTAAAACAATGAAACCCTTTCTTGGCTGACGGGCTGACGAAGGCTGGGCCAGCGTGGCTGCGGCCCAGTTTGCTGACCCGAGCCCTGGGCACCATGAGGGGTGGGCCAGGAGCGGGTCCGCAGGGCTGACAGCCCGGAGCTGAGGGGCATTGCTGCCCTGGTGCCTCTACTTCTCCACAGGCAGAGGCTCGGCCTCAGGCTGGGGCTGGGGGGCCGGGAGGAGCAGGGTGGGCCTGGTCAGCTCAGCTCGTGGCCGCCTGCCCCAGCCTCACAGTGCCTGTCCCCTCAGCCCCTCCCGTCTCTCCATCCTTCCTTCGTCCATGACTCGGGCAGGTGTTGTGCCTCCCTAATGCCCACGGTCCTTAGCTGTCAGCCAGCCCCGGGCGGCCAGGCCTCACCCCCCCCCCCCCCGGGGGCGCCCG